GTGTGTGACAAGACAGTAGCAGAAAGTACCCAGCACAGATAATTTGTTTTGTTTTGTATGAAAACCAGAACTGTGGATAATGATGCCGTGCTTCTCAGATCTTGAGCTCTGCATACATGACTGACTTTTTAATTGTTTCTTTTTATAAACTACTTTTTTTAAAAATCCAAAATGGAAAAAGTGTTTCATAACCAGAACTCCTTTGTAAGAAAACAAAAGATGACAACAAACTCATGCTGTTCTGTATATAGTCCTGAAATCCCAACAGTGCAGACTGTATGATAATATTTTCAGTTGTTAAATTTTTTTATTATGCAAGGAATGCGATCAGATGACACCAAAACAGATGTCAGTGAGGAAATCCTCTCCAAAAAAACTCTCTTTTAAGAGTAAGTTGGGTGTGGGTCTCTGTCCTACTCATTTTTTGATTAATTGGACTACTTCTGATTTTCTAAGAGGGAACCTCCTAAATCTGTGCAACGACAGTGCTGGCTTGAAATGTTCTCACAGATAATAATATAATGTGAATTAAATGCTTGCACAAGTTAATATTTTCAAAAATTTTTTTAAGGTCTTACTTGTTTTCTTCTTGTATTCTTGTAGAGATAACTTGTGTTGAAAGAACTACCCATTCATTAGCAAAGGTGTTTTATCATAGCTGTACGAAACTGCTATGGAACAGAGGCTTGAAAAGGAATAATATGAAGTCAAATGGATCTATTTCAAAATCATATATTTTAGTAGATCCTTAAGTATAACATTAAAAATGATTGTTTTTTGATTGTGAGTCATCCTGGACTTTTGGGGGAGAATGAGTTTTATAGCACTCATGATGTGAAATGAATCAAGGATATCTGCTGGCTACAGCAAAGATCAAAGGCTTCATTTCAGCTACATGCAACTTTGGTGTCACTGTAGATATTCTTTATGTGCAGCATTTTATTTTGTATATAACGTTTAGATCCCATACCAGAACCTGAGCTACATTAATAGTAAACTAATAGCAGCTACATGTTTTTTTTGTTCAAGACTTGGTTATTTTGGGCAAGGATAGCGTTTCCATAAAAGCTTGCTGAGGTCTCCCCTGAAGTTCAACTGTGGAAAGCCTGTAAGGCCCTGCTGAAATACAAATGAGAGAATGAGTGACCTTCTGAGAGGTGCAGAGTAAAATACTGAACCACCCAGTATGTCCAAAGTGGACAAACCACAGGATCTGAATTTGAAATAGCAGAACATGTGAATATGGAACAGCAAGCTTGAGGGGCATTCGGGGAACTTGCTAGTGAGGAAGACAGCTGTATACAGTATTTTGTGTGCCTTTTTGTCCCAAGTTATGAAAACCAAACTACCACCTCAGCTTTACATGTAGTCTCCTTTTTCTTCCTTTATATGCAACAAACAACTTTTGCCTTCTATTTAGTTTGAAGATTTGCAGTCTGTCCCCCAAGGCTTTTCTCAGACCGATTACCTTTTATGTATCTGTCCCCTCACTATTGACCCGCTTCAGTTCATCTTTTCCTTGGCTATGAAGCAGTGGTTTTACTTAATTAGCATTTAATTTCATGCTGCAGCCTACAGTGCTAAGATGTCTCAGACAACTCTGTAGTTTGTGATTCCCCCGCCTTCTCTGATTTTGAAATTATCAGCCCTTTCCAACTTAGCTGAACACAAACCCATCCTGAGATTGCTAATAAAACAAGCTAATGAAATAGGCCCAAATGCTAAACCCTCTTGAGATTGTTTCTCATGTGTAAAATCAATACTAACGATCACTCCCTGTTTCCTCCTAACCATTCAGCTGCTCCAGGCTTAATAGTTTTTGAAAGAATTAACCTTGTATTAATTGCAGAATTAGCAATAAGTAAACCAATTAGCTACTTTATAATACTCCTGCATTCTAGTTATCGGCTCTTCTCTTAATGTGAATGGCAGATAATTGTGGAGTGGTTAATTCATGCAGACCTTTAAGGCAAAATGGGATTAGTGGTTCTGCACTGTTTTTGCATTTGGGCAGCAAACAAAAAAGGTTTTGCTGCTGCTTAAGTTAATAGTAAGGCACTCCTTTGATATTAGAAGAGCCTTACTTCTTCAGGGCTTGATACATGTTCAAAAAGTAGAGGCTAATTATTAAAAATATTTGTCCCAAGTTGTCAATAAAAAAACCTAGTTACTGACTTTCTCCAGAAAGGCACACCCCCCGCCTCCCCGCCCCCAACTCCATCACTCTTCACATTACTTCATGGTGGTGGATGAGCTCTTCTCCAAACCGCCGGACACTTGGCCCTAATTCATACAGAGCTGTCGTGATCTGGCAGAGGCTGTGGAAAATGACATTAGCTTCACATGCTCCTTGCTGTTCTGAGCCAGATGAAAATATGCAAGCGTCACGAGCAGATCTTCTTGGAAAGAGAAGGGAAAAGGGAGAGGAGGAGAGAAATACCAGTTAAATAGTGTGCTCCCTGCAGCAGGCACCTATACATATATCGGTCTGTCACCAACACTGACAAATCGCATTGTTGAAAAATGAGCAGTCATCTTTCTGGTTCCAGTGATTCGTATTGTGATTTTCGAACAGAAATAAACTGCTAGTCTTAGGTGTTCAGCCCGGCAGAGCAAGAACTGTGACTGAGGAAGAAAGCCCAGCTCCATTCCCATCGTTAGCAAAGGGCTGCCCTTTCTGCAGCTCCCCCATGGCGGTTCCACAGATGCATGCCGTCCAGCCGCAATGTCCTGCTGGCTGATCGGGTTATTCTTCCATTTCATTGTAGAGAGAGCACCTTTTGCTAGTGTGCTCAGCAGTTATGGGTGTTAACCATGGCACCGCAATGATTGGGTATATAGGGATTTTGCTGTGACTCTATTATTCCACTTTGTAAATATGTTGCGTTTGCTTTTTATTTGTGTTTGCTTTCTATTCTTCATCCCTTACCAGCCAAGGCAAATCTAATTTCTCTTGATGAACAATTAAAAAGTTGAGGAATGTCTTCTCTGCATTTTTGCAAGTTTCTAAGTATTCTGTCTAGAATGGTTGTTTTCATTTGTTACAACTAAATGATATTTAATATGTAATGGGGAATGCTATCTATGATTTATGAACTGATCTAGCAAATAGAAGTTAATAACACACAGACCTCATTGATTTCTCTGTAGAATGGATGAGAAATATACTTCTTCAGTTTTTCAGTTAGAACGACTGTTCATAAACGTTACCTAAACATTGGAAAGTGTTCTAGTACTGCACACTGATATCTGTGGGACCTCAGTGTCAACACCTTCTACTCAGATGCTGCAGTCGTCCTTTGTGAGCCTGCCTTTCCAAAACCCCACCGATGAGATATACCATGAGATATACCCCATGCCCATGCAGTTTGGATGTCATATTCAAGAAAAAACCTCTGCTTGTTTAGACTTTCTGTCAACCGGTATTCCCAGAAAAATTGTTCAGATGCAGGCTCTGATCGAGCAACACACGAAGCTTCTTGCCTTATTGACAAAAACCATAGTTTGTACCCTTGGAAACTTTTCCAGATCAGGATGCAGTGTTCTGTCAGTAGCTTAATACTGCTTCCTGACGTGAAGCTCATTAAATTGCTTTTGTAGAATAGTCATTTTGAAAGAAATCAAGGCAATCAAGTATTAGATTTTATATAATGACATTAAGAAAAACAAGATACCAGCCTTTCAGTACATTCTCATTCATGCATCTTTCTGCAGAAGAACGAGCACAAGTTCAGGCCACAGAGACTCCACTTTGGCCAGACAAAGTAAATACGGTGTATTTTCCACCGGTAAAGGCCTCAGCTAACACCTACTCTTATCAGTAGAAGTATCTCGTAGCTGTTGTCAGCTTTGCATTAGGCTTTGAGAGGGTAACGTGTACTTTGATTCATTTAAAACATCAGTCATGTAAATCTGGACTCTCTTCCTGTTAAGTGCTGAGTCCCTATTGACCTCAGTGTGGACAGAAACAGAATTAATTATTAACATTTATCTGGGGAGAATAGATTATTAAACAGATACCTACCTGTATCCTTGCCATGAAACCGTGACTCATAATCTTACAAATAACTTTTTTAAATAGGATATGACAAAAAAGTAAATGGCTTTGGAAAAAATCAGTCTTCAGAAATGTCTACTATATTTTGAGTGTATTCATGGATGACCTGTAAGTATACCATGGAAAGATAGGTAAATTAAAAATTATCTAACTTCTCTAACAAGTATTTTTGGACTCGTATATTAAACGTATTTAGATGAATTTTACATGATTAATGTAATTTTAGTTATTTCAAACTAATCTTCAGGTATAAATGTTATTGCCTGATACTGATGGATTTGGTTTGTAGTTTTAAAAATAAAATAGAAAGGCAAGTTTCTAGTGGCCCTGCATCTCTCTTCATGATTGGCAGTTGCAGGTCTTGGTGATAAAGGTGGAGAATTACATATCCACAGCAGACTTGGCTCAGGCATACTGTAGCTGTGCTGTGACATACGAAAGGTTAGAATACTTAGCAGCTGAGAAAGGTTTATAGGGCACCGTCTGAGACATGAAATACAAAAGTGACATGACCTGTCATTTGCGTTTTCATTTATTTTACAGCAGCACTTAAAACTATTAATTAAAATCCTTTCAAAGGACATAATTGCTGAATGTAGGTACAAAACAAAAAATTGCCACTTTTGGTGAGATGATGAAGATTTGTCTATACACAGCCAAGGAATTCCTGTTTGATATCTCTGTCTGTATTCTTATGACTGTCTCTATTTCTGGCTAGTAATTGTTCTGGTAGAGGAAAAGGGGATTGGCACCAACACGTGCCCAAATATATGCCAGCTCTTAAAATTACTATGATCTGAATCTGATCTCTCTGCATCTTGCATAAAATCATTTTTGTCTGTCGTCTTTGGGCTTGGAATGAGAACTGAGGGATGGAGAGAACACATAGGAAGGGTATGAAGAAATTAGATTTTCTAAGAAGGAGAACAAAAAAGAAATTGAGTTGTTAGCGTGATATAGAGGTAGAAGAAACTTGAAAATTCAAAGATAGAAAAGAGAACAATAGGGCATGCTTTGTAGCACGGGGTTCAGAGAGGGTGTTTCTTCTCAAGGTTGAAGCAGCTGTATAACCAGCTAAGAAAGAGGACGCTAACTGCATAAGGAAAGAAGTGGTCAGTGATACTAAGCAGCCACGAGGGAATCCTAGGTCTGCCAAACTCCTCTGACTTCAGGTCACAGAAAGCTCAGGGACAGTCAAGAATTTAAAGCAGGGAAAAGGAAGTTAGGCAAGATTTTTACTTTTTTTGTTGTTGTTGAAAATAAACAAGCGATCTGGAGATGTTCCACACAGTTGCAGTTGCATACTTACATAATCATGTATTTTAGAGAAGCACATTTTAATCTTTGTATCTATATCCATGTATTCTCCTGAGGGAAAGGGGTGAAGAGCCTGCACGCATCCTGGGCACCGAGAACAGCTGGAGAGCGAGGCCAGCAAGGCCCAAGCTCAGAGGCAAGCACGGGCCCTGTGCCCAGCTCAGAGCTGGAGGGGCCCAGGAAGGAGATCTGCTGGGGAAGCTCACGCAGTTTGTAAAAGCCGGGAGGTGATGACTTGGAGAAGGCAAGTCGGTGACTGCCCAGGCAGAGGCACTCCGGTGACATCAGCCAACAAAACAGGTGCCTCTCTGCTAGCAAAGGGGTGTCCCAGTGCAGAAAATGCATTTTCACAACACTTGAACACTGACTGCTGAAGCCTCAAGATTCCCTGCTTTAGATGTTTGAACTAGCAACCCATGGCATGCTTTGTCATTTAACACGTATCACACCATAGCATTACCAAAAGGTTAATTTGAATGGGGTGTACTGGGAGTCCAAGAAAATAATCAGAAATTTAGTCTATTCTGCAAAAACTTTGGTGGTTTGTTGCGGGTTTTTTGTTTTGTTTTGTTTTGTTTTTTAAGCAAATAGCAAAATTCAGTCCTAGAAAATGTTGCAGTTGTGCAGAAACCTCCACTGAGAGTACAAAGAGAGACCTCATCAGAAAAGATTATCAAGTTGCTGCATATTCAGTGTGTTATGAATACAGCAGCCTCAAAACACAGCTGAGGGCGCAGGCAACGATGTTTGTCCTGCTGATGTGTCTGTCACATTGGATGAGCACCATCTTTACCCAGACTTACTTGAGCAAAGTCAGGCAGCGAGGGCTCTGACTAGTTTAGAAAGTGATTTATTCTGGCTTGTTTGGCATTCCTCGAGCTCTTATGTGTTGCAAGCAAATGGAACACGAAGACTGGGGAAGAGAGGTGGGACAGGCAAGCCCTGACGTTCTGCAGTGCAGCATGCCTGAAGGAACAGTCCCTAACCACTCAATCGGTCAGAAAAATGTGGTGTCATCAACCTGCCTCTGTCTACTGTCGCCCTTACTCCTGATGACCAGGTGTTTCTGCTCTGTTTCTGAGCACCTCTGGACTATTGTCCATCTGTCAGCCAGCCTGTAAAAAAAAAAGCCTTCAAGCCTGCCATGGGTTCACTCACCTGAGCATGTGTAGCTGGCCTTTGGTGCAGTAGCGCACCTGCAGTCCCGAAAGACACTGAAGTTGTACCCAGCGGGTGCTGACAGGCATGTATGTTGAGGAGCAGAGGCTGGTGGTGGACTGGTTTGCAAATGACTCTGTTTTGACATTTCATCAGCGAGGAACACGTTTTTCTGTTTTTGTGGTTTGTTTGCTTTTGCTTGTGGGATTTGCTGTTTTTCCCCTTAATACAGTAAGTTGGTCTACTGCACAGACAGTTTCCATAAGGTTTATTTTTGTATTTACAAACATTTGTGGCTGGATGAGGCTCTGAATACCTGATCTAAGATAATATTCTCTTCTAAATCAATGCTCCTAGTGCTTATAAAAGAGCAAGAGCAAACTAAATGAACAGACAGTTAATCCTGATTGTGGAAGGCAGTTCCAGGGAAGGACGCAGAGAGCAGTTCTGCATGGAGCCAGCTCACTGAACACGCAAAACTCTGTTCTCCGTGCTCTCCATCCCTCTGGGCTGCTGAGAATGCTGGCCGTGGAGACTGTAGGTGTGCGTTCCTGTAGCTAGCCTGTTGCCATCGTTACAGTTAAGCGAGTGAGATACCATGCAGCGCACGGTAGAAGCGTAGCTTAACTCTTACAACTCTATTAACATCTTCAGAAAGGACAGAGAATAGTTTACCCTCTGCCTGGGAGGTGTGGCTGAAGGAAGTGAGAAATCCGCATTGGGTATTTTCCATTAGAAAATAGATTGCCATTTTCTTTTTTTTAAAAATAGTATGGATTAAACTACAGTTCCAATGGAATATCTACGGAAGCAAAATGCACATCAGGTCATACTCTTCTAATAGCTTTCTCAGCTTTACAGGAGCAAATGAGAAACTTATTTTTTTATTTTTTATTTTTAATTTTGGAGAACTGTATTTTGTTATGCTTTCTCTTTAGGTAACTAAGCAAGAGAAGAGTCTCATGAAACCTCTTTACGACAGATACAGAATTCTCAAGAAACTTCTTGCAACCCCATCTTTGATCACAACAATTGTAAGTTTAAAGAATTGATATCCATTCTCAAGAAAGCATAGTAAATGCTGTGTTTGATTTGAACCTGTATGTCACTTTGGCAACAATAGAACTGCTGATATTTGAAGAATCTGCTCATTGGTTAATGCAGGGTGTGGTTATTTCAAATAGAGCAAAAGCGCTGTAAAATTCAGCTTCTAAGCATGCCAGAGGTGGTAATGTATGGCAGCAGTTTCTGAGGCGATCACTTGAAATGACTGGGTAAGAGGTGAAAGGCGGGTATTGGTTTTCTGTTATGGGTAAAACATATGCAACACAGAATGAAACCCATCTCCTTCCATGAAGCACTGTGGTGTCACTATAGCTGTCTTCCCTATTTTGCTGACGATGTTTATCTCAATCACGTAGGACATAAATATCGTTTGTAGTACTTTAATAATTTATCAATGTAATGTAACAGTACTGGTCTCACTGTGAGTAGTTAGTAGAATCTGGCTATTTGGAAGTTAATTAGCATGTCTCAAAAATACTAATCTAAGTGTAATTGGGGCTGGGTTCATTTTAAAAATTATGAATTATTGTCTTGTTGGATGATAGCGGAGCTTTAGATGTCTTTGAAAAATCCAAGTGTAGATCTTTGTACACACACACGGATATTTTATTTAAAAATGTAACTGAAGTTCCCTCGTGTTACTTCTTAGGAGCTTTGCTCCTTGGAGTTTTTGTGTTTAAGCCTTAGTTTCAAAAGCTCAACTTTTCTTCTGAGGATGAGGGAACATGAGGAAGACAGCAAATTCACTCTATTTTGGTAGTTAATACCTGTAGCTACAAAACTGCGGGATCTCTACCTCCAGCTCTTGTTACAGTCAGAATTTCCGGACATAATACAAACAGTAGATGGTATAAGTTCCAGCGAGACTGCACTGCTTACGTAAATACAGAATGTTCTTTAAATCTTTGCTTCTTATATAGGCTTTTAAGTAAAGAGAAATAAATTGCTGGCTAGAGGTACTCAGAAGCAGGGCCAGCTTCTGCCCTGTTTAGTCATGGTGGACAATACACAGTAATTCGATGGGCTCCAGGAGACCTCTCATGAACCATCTTGGGCAGACCTGGGTAAAGCTTTCAATATGTGTAATCTCTTTCAACAAATACACCCAGGAGGTTAAATCCTAATTCTTTGTGTTGTCATCCCACTAATTGTTAGTATTCTAATGTAAACAAATCATTTAATAATGCTTTCCATTTTACAAGCAGGAGGAGGAAGACTCAGATGAAGACCGTTCTCAAAGCAGCCATGAGTTATCATCTGGTCCAATATCTTGCCTCCCTGTTGATGAGCACCTCTGTTACTCTCAGGAGGAGAGTGAGCCTGCCTATGTTTCACCTCTGGATGAAAAGAAAGCTTTCAGGCAAACAGCCTTGTCTATGTCCAATTTACATGAGGCAACAATGTAAGTTCTGTTTCAGCTATTTTTTCAAACAAACAACTTTGTGCCAAGTCCATGAAGAGAAAGGTGATGGAAAGTGAGCAGATAGGAGAAATAGCTACACGTACAGAGTGGTAGATGTGACAGAATGGCATTGTAAAGGTGTGCATACCTACCTAAAATTGCTGCAAAATTTTTAGGTAGCTAACTACTTATGTTCTTACAAAGCAGTCAAAACAAAGCAGAGTTTGGCCACACAGGATATTGTGCTCCTGTGTGCATACTGGCACTGACTGTGTGAGTGATGTAAAAATGCCAGAGATGTGAGGCATAGAAACAGCAACAGGTGAGCCGAGTGCAGGACCTTGCAATACATGGTCACATGGGAGGCCATTGGAGGCATGTAAAATCAATTTCTTCTTTGCTTGAGAATAGTTATTAGTGTCTGGCTGACCAGAAAACTTCAGGCTGCCGTCCTACCCTTCATTATGAAGCCAAAATAAAGTTGCCCTCCTGATCTGTAGTTAAGAATTTTGGGTTGCATGAGACACCATACCTCATGATGCACATAGGCTGTTACCACTCAGCCCTGACACTTGATGAAGAATATGCCCTCCAGGAACAGATGTGTTCTCACAGGATGGTATCTTTTTCTTGTGTTTTGGTTGGGAGTGCTCTTAGGTGCATAAATGAAGGCCCTACAAAAATGGAGAGTAAATAAAAATGTCTTGGTTTTCTATGTAACGAACTCACTCAACTATGTATGCAGTAGTTTGCTCACAAATGCTGTGAAGATATTTCTGCGCACTTTGTTATTACGGGGAAAAAAATCAGCTGCATATGTCGTAACGGAATTCTTTCTCTGCTTAAGAACCTTATTCTCCAACTATCAGCTGAAACACAGCCTCCATAAATAATGACTCTGGGTAGCAGAACTAGCATTTCCGTTGCATCATAGTAACGTTTGGTTACAGCTGCTTTTTAGGTGCAGGGCTTGGATGTCGACTTACTTTATTAATTCAGTTACAGAGACGCAAAGCATTTCCTGTGAGATGCTGAGCCCTGTCAACTCCATTAATTCCACACAGAATTAAGACCACTACCAAGGCTCAGTCCTGAAAGCTTATCTTCCCAGGTTGTCTATAAAGTCGCTGCCTTCACTTTATTAGGAGGGTGAGAATACTAGTAAAGGGGAAGGAGCACAACAGTTTATTGCGGGTGATGGTGCTACCAGTTATTATCCATAGCTGGAGGGATGGGGTGGAGTGTCGCGGGGCACTGAGATCAGCACTTGCCATGGCCCATAGCAGCAGGCTGCTTATTACCCAAAGCCACTTCTACAACACTTCCAAGCACACGAGGATTTCATGTTCTTGTCTCTGGTTTACAGGCCCGTTCTGCTCGAACATCTGAGAGAAACAAGAGCAGATAAGAAAAGGCTTCGCAAAGCTCTGAGAGAGTTTGAGGAACACTTCTATAAACAGACAGGAAGGTAAATAACCAGCGCAGCAAAAGCTCTCACCTTCTCCCCTTTGGGCTCCTATGCAGATGTGTGTGTTTCTGCTAGGGTGGGTACTCTGCTGTGAACAGGCCAAAGGAGCTGCAGCTGGGGCCTGGAAGGTACCGTGGAGGTGCTTGGTCTCTGTGGAGACATCTCTCTCCCTGCTCAGGCATCGCTGAGGACAGGCTGGATCTGGGGATCTCCCCGGACATGGCAGCAATGGGCATAAACCCTGCCTCAGCACAGGATCTTTCCTGAGCTGAAGGGAGGCTGCTAAAGGGTCTTTCTCGAGGACCAGTTGGGCCATTTTTAAAAGCCCAGATTTAAAAACAGAAACCGCTGTTTCTTTCACCCATAGATAAATACTGGCTGCTTTTCACTCTTCGTTTATCCTCCTCCCTTCATTTTGCAAACTTGTTTGCTGAAAATTGTGGAGGTTACAGGAATCTAGTATTCTGGTAAGAGTTTTCAGAGAGCTATATGTAGTAACTTCTCTGCATATTTAGGAAGGAGGTAGTTATGCTTGCATAGTTTACAAGAAAGAAAAGTACTTACTGTGTGCTAAATCATACTGTGATTTCATTTCTGTCTATTAGAGCTTTTTGGTCCTGTCAACTTACCTTTAGTCACCTACAAAAAAATAATCCAACTGAATCCTGGTTAGTCGTTGCAGAATTAATTTTAAAGATTGTTTCTCCTCTTACTCATGAAAGTGATGGCACTTTCATTTGCTTCTCATAGGAGTCCTCAGAAGGAAGATCGGGTGCCAATGGCGGAGGAATACTCCGAATACAAGCACGCAAAAGCCAAAATCAGGCTTTTGGAGGTTCTCATCAGTAAGCATGATATTTCCAAAACGATTTGAAGCAAATGCAATGCTGTGCTATTGTTATCTAGCAAAAAACAAGTAACGAAAAAGAGGAAGTAGTTTTACAGGTCTTGGTCTGCTGCACAGTTATGTGACACATTGAGATTTCTGATGCACTTTACCAATTATTCTAGCTGGGATGAGAGAGGACAGCAATATGCAAGACTATTAAGCACGGGTGAGTGGACTATAGTATATATTTTTTTCCTTTTGAGAAAGCCTTGAAGTGCACTGTGAGAATGTTAGAAATTAAAAGGACACTGAAGCATTGTAGATCCTGTCTGACCTCCTCTTAGTTTTAAACAAACAGTGTGAGTAAATGCTCTGCAGGTTTTTAGTACATCTTCGTACATGATTGATAATGTACCACACATTTCTTTCCAGAATTAACATGTGCTATAATTAAGTAAGTAAGTAGTGATGTCAGTTCTCAATGTGCTGATTCACTACATTACATTAAAAGAAACGTGAGCTTAAAACGCATGAAGGAAAAACTGGTGAACGTACTGTCAAGACAGAGTTGCCATTTGACTCCAGTAGCCTCAAAGGAAGGTGCAAACAACCAACCAGCGTCAGGATCTGGTCTAAAATTTCTGGGAGTAGAGCAAAGTGATGCAGCCTATGCAAAGGAAGGGGACAGAACACGACTGCCACATGGAACTACTGGGGTGGTTTTTTTAGAAATAAGATAGAAAGTGTTTGGCAAAACAAAATAGATGATACAGTTTACTGGGAAGAGAGAAAACAAAGGTACTGGCTGCTGTCCTTTTCACTATGGTTCACAGGACCTGGCTCATGGTACTTACAGTTCCGTAAATAGATCAACTACATGCTAATTTTTATTTCTGTATTAAACTTTGCACTTTATTTTGCCTGATGCTATAACAAACATTTGCTTTTCTGACTACCAAAGCTCATTTAGACGCATGCACTTTGTAAAATGTCGAAGTATTTCTTGTGTTACAAATTGCCATATATATATATATATTAAAAGCAGACTAGATTATTGCATTATGCCAAGATACTTTGGATAGATGAAGTACATGGCACATAACTAACTGAGTGTCACAGGTTTCTGATGAGGAACTCTAGACTTCTTGTTTACTAAAAATAAGATTATAAAAAAGGATATTTTTCCATTGGAATTACGCATCTTTCTTAACTTTCAGAGCACCACACTTTGTAATATTAAGGAGATTTTTTTCACTATTTGTGATGGACTATTTAACAGAAGGATTGTCAGTGGGTTTTGTACTAGAAATGAGAAGTGGGGATTCTGGGAAATACCTAGCCCAGACATAAAGGAAGGAAGAATTTGAAAAAAAGGGACTTGAATAGTTGAGTCATGTTTAGTGTTTTGCTTTAACTGTCATTTTGTATTGACCACATGACACAGGCAACCTGTTTTCTATCTATCTCGGTAAGATGATTTTCATTTTATAAAGCCTATTATGTACCAACCATGTTTGTATTTATAGTGTATGTAATGGCTCAGCATGATTTTGAAGACATACACATTTTCCATTAGCTTGGAGGAAAAAGTATGAACACTAGAAAAGGAATTTTTTATTTCTCAGAGGTTTGTTGTTTCAGTGTACTCAATAATTTATAACTTAACTTTTATGAATCAGAAATGGTCTCCTTCGTAAATCTGTTTAATTAAAGTCATCTAGAGCAACAGGAACAGATACAGAGCTATTTGAAGTTTACAAACTACATCTTTGATAAGGGAAAATGATTTCATGACATATGTATACAATTGATATTAAAATGTAATCTATATATTCTATATGATTGTATAATATTTTATACAACAGTACAAATAAAATATTTTTCTATTATATTTATTATGTCGAGACACAGTTTCTGTTTTCAGTTAGCTAATATAAATAACATAAATAACACTGTCAAACAACACGGTGGAAGTGCTGACATTTCTAGGCTCTGAAATTTAAATCATGCTGCAGTTACAACCTTTCATGCTGTTTGGAGTTATCCCAGTATTTGTCCTGTAGTTAAAATGAATGCATATTTAGACACCATTTATAAGCAGTTATTTTCATTTTGCTAAAGCAGTTTATATAGGGTTTTGTTATGTTTGGCAAGAAACAGAAAACAATTTTTGCAGCATCTAGGTATAAATGGTTGCCAGAAAGAAATCCAGGACTTCTAATCATTTAAAGCATCGGGGGAACAGAAGTGAAAGAGGGAGAGAAGAAATACTAAAAACGCTATTGGAGGTTTTGAAGACTCGTCTTTGCTTTTGGTGGCAGCAGCCTGTGCATGCTTCTGACAAAAATGTCTGACTATGGAGATGGGCAACAGAGGTGTGAAGGCTCCTAAGTAATGGGGGAAGTTTTAACGTCCGACACTGATATTGCAGGTCTTGCAGCTGGGATCTTTCTTTGCGTTTGCAGTAGACAAGCTCATTAGTTGGTGACCGGTAATTTCCGCAACTGTGCCGAGGGAGAGATCCACAGGATCAGTGTAAATTACTTCCAAAATAACATCCTGGGCATGATGGTAAACCATGACACCGTCTTCTTCATCGCAGGTCAGAAATTTATTATCTTTTATGTTTAGTTGAGGCAGGCGCTGCTTACAGAATTCGTCTCCTGGCGATCCAACAGGGGCAATAACGAGAATGACGTAGTGGTAGGCTGTGTACATGCAGTAGAAGTCTCCAAAGTACAAGTTAGTATTGGGGTTGAAGAGTTTTTCCGCTGCAATCTCAAACCTGTATCTTCCGTACGGTGAATCTTGTGGTGGCTTCCCAGTGTTAAACTCGGTGTTGCAGCTGAAGAAGATGCCTTCCAGCTTCCCACTGATCGGAGAGCCATGGCTGCCACTGTTATCCTTAACAGAGGGCTGCATAGCATTCCCGTGATGCTCTCTACAAACGAATGACTGGTATTGTTTATTTTGTAACACACGGTAAAGAAAAAGGGGAAAGTTAGGTCGTCATGCTGTTTGGTAACAGTACTGAAGGGACACAAAGGAAAACTGTTAAACTGAAAACTGTGGTTAATGTCATGATCTTAGGACCAAGAAAATCAAGTGACGCCAGGCTCAGAAAGAGCTAGAATAACTCCTGCCCAACGGGAAAAACCTGCTTTTCCTGTCTGGCTTCTCTGTCAGCTGTGAGCTGTGCAGGTGCTACACGCAGGCAAGCAATAGGACAAACAAAAAAGCCCCCAAACCACCAATATCTTTAATTAGCTGATTTCTTCAGCCTTCCACTACAAGTCTAATGATAAACACATTTTAGTTTAATCACATGTCAAAAACTGCAAGTCAGTCTCAATGTGCTGAACAGACTAATGCGTATTTTTAGCATAAGCAGTATACATTTCATACAGAAAACTGCCAGTGAAAGTTATTCACGAACAGTGTTTTCCAGAGAGCTTATAGGAAGCAATGTACAGTCTGCCATAGCTTTCTGCCCCCCAGATAATAATTTCAGGTCTAATTTTTCTACAGCTGAATCGGAGCAGAGCTGGGCACAGAGTATTAGGCAATTTGGTTGGTCTCCACTTTGGGTGGTGTCCAGCTTCTGCAGTCACTAGTCTTAAGAAGAAAAAAGGTACAATGCTAACCTTTTTTTTTTCTTTTGCAAGCCGAGCGCAGTTTGGTTTCAGTGAAAAGAAATGTTCGGTGTAACAAGTGAATTTTTAAAACCCTAAATCCCAAATTCCACTCAGCAGCAATAGGCTGCTAGTTTTAGGAGAACAGCCTGAAACACCCCATCTCATCCTCCTTAGCACCCGAGATTTTACGTATAGCAGAGTGTTCCCCAGAACTTGTGCCCCACACAGCTCTGGAAGTGCCGCTCTGCGACTGCGTGATACCAGAAAGGGAAACATTCCCTTTTGTCAGTCATGCAAAACACCAGATTTACTAGGCACCCTTGGAAAATGCCTTTAGAGACATCAACAGATGAAAAATGCCTGAGGCTGGGGAGTCTTACATCCCTCTCGGGCTTTAGTTTTACTCTTTTTTTTTTTCCCCCCTCCTGTTTTCGTGTTTGTTTTCTTGGTTTTGGGGTTTTTTTTTTTGTTTGTTTGCTTGTTTGTTTTGTGAGGAGAGGGGAAACTAGCCAAGACAGACTTCTCTTTCTGCTTTTAACTTGCAACAGCTCCAGGTAAAATGGTGCTGTGTGGGAGAGGGTTTTAAAGTGGGAGGTAGCAGTCACAGCAAAAAAATTCAGTGTATACATACAAAACAGCTCTAAATTAACCCAGTAATGTCTCCAACTGTGATTTTTTTCATTATTTTCAATTTCCTCAGCAGCAAACAGCAAATCTTAATTTTGACTCCAAGATAAATTTCAAAAGTTTTCTGTACCATTGAAATACTACATAGTTAATGTCCCAAGCCCTGTGTCACAAGACATGGATTGGGGTGGGGGGTACATAATTGGTATTTTAT